ATAATATAGATCCATCAAACTTTTATGCATTTAACAGTGAAACAATAGGACAAGGGGTCATAAATTCAAATTTTAACAGTGTAGGAGTCGTCTGCAGCTTAGACAGTATTATTTTTCAAACAAGACGGTTGGCTTTTGGAATGAGTTGCCTTCAAATGAAAAAAAAATTATATCCACAAACTAGCTTCCTTGATCAGTACCATCAATTAATTCAAAGAATTTATAAGTTAAAGTAAAGGAGAATGTATAATAATGTGTTAACCACATTATATCTGCCATATCCAGTGTCAGCGAGGCCTCTTGCCCATTACTAACACTCGTTGGTTTGACTCGCATATGATAGACACAGAAGTGGTCTAGGCACTATTTATATGAATTTCATGAACAACTCTTAATCAAATTATTCCAACTTAAACACAAGTTATATGAGCAGATTGTTAAAAAAACATTCAAAATACTTACAAAAAACCTCAATAATTAAAGTTGATTTCTCTGCTTGTAACATCTGTGAGAAACAACATAAAAAGTTAAGTACTCAGTAAAGCTAATTATGTTTCTACTTATATGTTTATGTAATAACATACAGATGTTATATTCGGTATTTTTAGAAAAAATAATATCAAACTGGTTCCCAAATGCAATCAAGATGTTTTGCAGGTAAAAAAAAAAAATAGACAATTAAGATTTTTAATCAAACAATTATATTTCACTTATGAATCTTGAAAACAAACCAAAAATATAGTTTCAAAAATAACTTTCATAAACAAACTAATTAAATATTTACTTACCTTATTATATCCAGTAATATTTATGAGGTATGAGCCACTGTCATGAAAAACATGGGTTTGTGAGAAGAGAAAAAACTCAGATTCATTTTTAAAAGATGTATCAGTGATATCAGACTTAATGAGTGAGGTTAGTATAGAATATTTGATTTTTTCATGGGAATTATTAAAGTATCTGGTTTCATTGTCAAATTCCCATAAAAAACTTGTATCTTGGCCCAGTGAAGAAACAAATGCCACAAAAGTTGTTTTATCGCCAACATAAACATAATCATACAACGGAAGAGCAACGAAGAAAAGGGTTGACATACGCTCTGAAAAGAATAAAAAAATAGCTAATTAGATGCAGGAATAAATTTGAATGACAGGTTTTATTTTTTCAGTAAGTATACTTTCAGTTCAATTCTAAAATAAATAGTTCACCCTGTAAAAACAAACATAAAGACTAGAATAATTTTTTTACCTATTTTACAGAATATTGAATATTATATATATTTATATATTTCAAAAATGAAAATAAAATAACTATTAAATTTTGTGCACTTAATATATCGCACTCCCTATTTTGTACCACAAACCTACATTTATGAATGTCGATCTCATATTAAATTTAAGATAGAACTGGAATTTCCAACCTTCTGCACATGTAGACTAAACCAGGTTAAAAACTTCTAAGAATTAAGCCTAACCATACCTAATTCTGAATTAGTGACCAGAGAAAATGCAGTAAGCCAATAACACAAGGGCTTTGTGTATGTGTGTATATCATAACACATTTTACGAAGTAAGGAATTGCTGCAGGTAAATTAGAACAAGTATGTTTTTACATTTCTGGCTCTGTTCAGAACTGTCATTTGCGCCATTTTTTTCCTTATATCCTGTAAAATTTTCTTTGTCCCCAATGCATATTCTAACAATGTTAGTCATTTAATTAGTATTAGGACTACCTAATATTAAATGTTCTACTGAAATGTATTTTATATAATCAATGAATCTTTCATATTGCTATATATCACTAGCACATATTATATACGTGTATAGTAAAATTATTCAGGCTAGAAAACGTGATGTAAAACTCAACAAGGTTTTTTACTCACTAAGAAAGATCATTAATTAGGCTACTCTGATATTGAGAAAAAAGCCTACCCTGTAGAAGCCTAATACAAATAAAGTGAAATTATGGAATTAACAGTTAGTTCTTCCTGCCAGAAATGAGTATTAAGCCAGTGAAGATGCACTAAAAATAATTATCAGTTATACAGATCAAAAATGCTTTGTTATCTTTGGAGATACTTGAAATTTAAAATCTACATTAAATCACATTTTAACGGTGTTGATTTAATGACCTACTAAGTCAGATAATATCAAAATTAACCAGAAAGTTTCTTTTGCAATGACCTTCATCAAACAAAATGTATTAATGCACTAGTGCCAGTTCGAGCCCAAAATGTAGGAAGCTAATGGAAAGTTATTCAAATGTTATCAGTCATACTATGATAATTAAATATACTTTTTACCCTAAAACAATTTAATACCTCATACTAAGTTATCCAATGTATATTATGTTAAATAATTATTCAGAAGGTATGTCACTTACACAACTTTAACAAAACCAATTAAGGAACAATTCCCTTAGCTTCAGTAACAGATTAAATATTCAAACCGTCTGATAATGATTAAGGATTACTAAAAATAAACCATTAATAACAACCAAGTAGACAGGTAATACCAAGAGTGTACTTATCTGATGACATTCTAACAATTTCATTTTTGCTGTATGCAACTACTGGGTCATAGAACACATGCTTTATAAGAGTTTTTTTGGGCTGGACATAGCTAGTGTTAAGAGTGCTTTGATGTAGATCAGATGATCCAAGGTTGGAGTTACTGTACTCACTTTTTACCTTCAGCTGTGAGAACATACTAACCATGACAGCCAATCCTGCTATTTAGTTAAGAGTAGATGGCAGATGCTGCTGACTGATTATCTTCCCTCTGGTCAACAACTTTAAATTAGGAATGGCTGAGCCTGCCCTCATCAAAATTTGGATCTTTAAGATGGCCGAAAATGTATACTGTAGTATATTGGTGTAGAATATGATTTAACACGTCCCTCAGGAGCCAAGGGGTGTTTTTACACTACAATCCGTTGAATATTAAAAGTAAGTTCATTCTGGAAACTCCCAAAGAGGGTGTTTTTGGATGTATCATTTCAAGACAACTTTGAGATAAGTTTTGTTTGTTAATTGATAAATGTTTAAGTGAAATACAACATCATCAAGTCTCCATACTATTTAGGGAGTAAATTCAGTATATATCAATAAAGCCACATTCTCAGCATCATTAATTAAGCAATTGCCAAACTTTTATGCTTCTACTATCACCCTTTTCAATTGAGATACGAATGATTTCACTAATAAAATTGGCCATTTTTCTGCTTCCTGTTTACTTTTGTAAAGTGTTAATTTTTGTTTCAATTTCACAGCATATTTTGTCTATTTCATTTCACCTGCAACAGATCACTAAACATGTCCTTTCACATACTAAATCCTCCAATCTAGTAACTGCATGCTTGACTTATATTTGAAATACCCCCAACAGGACTGAGAGTAGTTATGTGGTTATATGCCTCTAATTGATTATCTGCCTCAGAGTGGCTAAATAAGAAAATTAATTTTTTTTTATTATTTCTGTAAGAAAAATCCTTTGAAAGAATTTAATTAAATTTTGCATGATTTTGGAAACCTAGTTGAAAAGAACTGTCCCACATTTACTGGTGATTTTTATGAGACCACCATCTAACATAAGGCTCAATTAGATTTTGGTACAGTAATAGTCTGGACTTGGCATGAAACAGACTTCAGATGTTTCTGTCTTATTCAATTGCAGCCTATTTGTTCAGTTTCAAAGATGCTGGCTGAGGATTGAATAGCAAATGTAATGTTCATACCAGAGATTGTAGAGATTTGGATATTGTGCTGACCAAGAAGTATATGTGAAATCATTGTAATGATCTTGAGTCTATTTTTAGACTAAATAGGCATGGAAGATTGTTGAAATATGCTGGAAGAACTTATATCCATAAAGATGAAAATACAACAATGTGCTGTGGGCACGATTGGCAACAATGCTCAGGTACAATTCTGGATGTTACTGGCCTTTCTAAAGTGTTCAAAAGACCCAGATTATGCCAAAAACATGTTCTATACACTACTGTACCACCTCTAGCAGCATGTATTCTCATATAAATTAGGACATGTGCCTCATATTCATGTTCTATTATTAATATAAAAATGAGAATGAAATTTGGCTCTTCAGACTATATCACACACTTCCAATCCTTCACTGTTACTGGTTTGTGTTCTAAGCATGGCTAGAGTTGTATTTTCCTCTTAACATCTGGAATAACCAATTTAAAACTGTTTTTCGACTGTTATGTCCTTCACAAAGTAAGATTGGGGATTATTGACCATTGTTTATAGAAATTGGTCAACTGGAAAACAGTTTTATGTCTGGTGCACCTTACTTTTCGTCCAATCATTTGTCACCATGGGACATCAGCAGAAGTTGTGTAGTGACAGATATATTTCCTTTTTTTACTTCCACTACTGATAAACTCTGATTGCAGATATCTTTTGATAGCCAGTCAAACAAATTATGTGTGATGGTGACACTCCTGCTCGACAGATATTCATTATCATTCATGCCCCTTTGAAAGTTGAAGAGATTCTTGACTTTTAGACTAACTAGGATTTAATTACATCTCCATATTTATAGTGATCCATTGTTTGTTTGTTATGAATTTCGCGCAAAGCAACACGAGCGCTATCTGTGCTAGCCATCCCTAATTTAGCAGTGTAAGACTAGAGGGAAGGCAGCTAGTCATCACCACCCACCGTCAACTCTTGGGCTACTCTTTTACCAACGAATAGTGGGATTGACTGTCACATTATAATGGCCCCCATGGCTGAAGGAGCGAGCATGTTTGGTGTGATAGGAATTTGAACCCACAACCCGCAGATTGCGAGTCGAGCGCCCTGACAACCTGGCCATGCCGGGCTAGTGATCCATTAATAGTATGATCAGTTTATTTGAATATGTAAATAAATAGAGTATTCCACAAATGTGTGTGTGTGTGTATGTGAGAGCCTAATAAAGTGACCAGTGTCTATTAAAACATTAGTTAAATTAATCTATATTTTCAAAATATATGTAATTTATTAACACACTTCATAAAGTCTTCATTAATATTCTAAATTCACTGTAAAAATAATAGCTCTGAGATAAAATTAGCATTTATTTGCAGTGTATGGAAGGAGTAAAATTTCAAATAAAGAAAGCAATCTATAAAGTTGAGTTGGTAGAAAAGTAAATGTTGATCTAGTTATTCACTCTCTTTCTCTAACAGCATTTTATATCAATTTGTCAGTTTAAAAATTTGACTCTGAAGGCTTCAACTGGTTTAGTGAAGGATGTTTAAAACATGGTTATTTTTTCCCTTAAACATTTTTTAACAAACATTACTTCTTGTCCGTCAACATGTACTGGCCAGACATAAATGTTTTCAAAGTTTAAGTTTGAAATGTAGAATAATTTAACCACAATATTGAATTTTTAACTACCTCCCTCCCTTCCATAATAACAGCTAAAATATGTTGTAACCTCAGACATTTAAAAACAAATTGCTGAAACATTTCAAATGCTATACAATAAATTAACCTTCACTTACCTATCACACGGATTTCAGTTGAAACCGAGTGTGCAAGTAGCTGAAATACGAAAATGGATAATTATAAACAAAACTTTATAAAATTTTTAAATAACCAGACAAGAGCAAAATAGTTTTAGTTTCTTTATTCAAATAAATAAACAACAAAAACTGGTTCAGTAAAAGCAAAATACTTTTTAACAGTCTTTACATTTAACAAACTATAAAATGAAGTTTGGTGACATAAGTTTGTCAAAATGTTCTACGTTTGTAATAAAGTTTCTTTCACTACCCATTCAAGCCATCTCTAAACTTTATTTTTTTGAAAAAGTTGGTTCCTAGTCATTAACTGGATAAACTATATTGAAATAACTCTAAATTGTAGTGTTAAGTATACACTGTGCTACTCTTTTGTATATTGATTACAATGAATATTTGAACGAGGTGTAACTTAATTAATATTTAATTCTGATATACATGCATGGTTAAATCAGCTTTAAAGTTATGAATGTTAAGGTTTAGTATAAGTGACATATTTGCTATCTAAATCAGTATGTTGTAGTGTTATTTAATGAGAACTTTCAATAATCTCAGCATGTCTAAATGTTAGGAATCAAATACCATCTATCTGAACATAACGCAACTTGTCAGGAATGTTTAAAGTTAAACACCAATACATAAAATAAATCATCTGGATCAGATATTAGAAGTCAAGAGCTTATGTACAACTGGGACCAAATACAACACAAGATGCAAGATCTTAAACAAAAACTAAAAATCACAAAGCTGTGCAATTTAGTTTACTTAAAAACACTTGACTATCATATGCTTTGATGCCATCCAACACAAACTTATCTCACACAGATATATATGAATACTGCGCACAGATGAGACCAAAAACAAGTCATTTACATAACAAGGTGAGAGATTTTACACAAAAACTAAACTCACAAAGCTGTGCAATTTGGTTTATGTGGGAACAGATTTAGACAACGTATGCCACAATGTTATCTAACTAAAACTTGTCCAACACAGATATATATGAGAAAAAATGTGTATTACATTTTTATAATATCACAACATTTTAAATTTCTGAGTATAGTTAGCGTATAACATCAAAGTAAATCAGATGGCGTTTTTAGATAGCAACAGAACTTGTAGATAACTTTCCGGTCGAGAGAGTTCAACAATAACTATTTATTACTGTCTATAGAATACCCATCGAACAAAATTATATAGAGTTGTGATCAAAACAATCTATCTGCACAGATAGGAACTAGAAATCAACCTAGTAATGAGCATAGCTAATTAAATATTTTGTTTCACGTTCTTACTTATGACAATTAGAATGCACTGTTTCGTCAGTTGGGTATCTTTGCCGTTAGCAATATCTTTGACCATAATACTGCTTGTAAATAGACTATTTTTGAAATAATTCCAGTCTTTGATGGATCATTTTACAAGTTCAACCATTTTCAGTCAACATTTATGATTGCAGTAGCTAATAATGGACATATTTCTACACTTTACTATTAATTGTAACCTCAATACCAATACACAAACCAAACATCATGTTAAACACACATTTATACACTCCTAATTCATCTAACAATCAAATTCATCCTCACAATTCCTCTGTATACGAATATTTGTTAGTTATAAAAAACAACAACAGAGATCTGACATGCTGAAACTTACATAACAAAAATGTACTAGTAAAGCAACTTTTGTTAAGTATTTACTTTTCACAAATCAACAACATATTCAGTAATCCAATTCCAGACAACGAAGTAAAATAAAAACTGTAATCCCTTTCAAAATTATCTCATAAAAAATAAATTTTTGTTTTCAGTCATGTGAAAGTAAACTGATAAAATAATGTTTATATTTTCTTAAATGAAACTTAGTTTGAGAACGGTTTTTAACTTTTATGAGATCACAAAAAGCAAAATCTTAAGTACATCACTACTGTATCAATTTAACTTCAAAATAATACACATGAAAACTTTATTTATTACATATCCTAATCATCAGAGCATTAATTTCGATCTATTACCACCATAAGTCAAAGTTCTTTTTTCACTCTTGTGATATTATGAAAATGATTCATATTACAGATGTGCATGCCCACCAGTGGCACAGCTTTATGTCTGCGGACTTACAATGCCAGAAACTGGGTTTCAATACCCATGATGGGCAGAGCAAAGATAGCCCATTGTGTAGCTTTGTGCTTAACATCAAAACAATCAAACAAACACAGATGTGATAAACTGGAAAAATGTTCACCATAATTAACAAGACACTATCAGCATCTTTTCTTTGTGATGCTCTGATGTTGAAAATTTGATAATAAATGGCGATGAAAAACGATTAAGTGAAATTTAAGTCCATTAGTCTAGAGTAATTTAGACAGTGGTCACTTCATTTCAAAGGTTTAAGAAGTTAATAAGTCTAGAAGGATATCAGGCAAGAAGAAATATCTGTGTTACCTCTCCACGAACAACTACAGAACAAAGAAAAATGAGGGAATATTTTACCAGGGTATCTTAAAAAATAAAGACAACCCTATATAACATTTAGCGAAAAGGTGACAAAAGATATCAATCAGGTATGTGTAATGAATTTTACCTGCCTTTAAACATTATGCTTTTGCTAATCCATTTATCCTATTACAAATAGGATCTATTTAGTTTACTACTAAATGTATAATATCTACTTAGCCTATTAAACACATAAGATAAAAGAGGCAAGAACAGCCTAAGAATCTAGTCTAATGTTTTAGACATTATAGCAGGCAGATGCAATGTCTGAGTATCTTAACATTAAAATCAAACTATTGGGTTTGAGTTCATTGAAATATGAAATGGGGGTCACTGAAGGTCTATAGAAGAGAATGATAAGCTAGATTCTAAAGTGAAACAACCAAAACCACCTGGTTGCTTAAAGTGATCCTCATTACTATGAATATTTGAAATAAAACTGAATAGTGCAATAAAAATCTGATCTGGATGTACCAATTAGAGATCACATATTCAGGATATTTCTCACTACAGAGATATATGATCCTGAGAGAAAATAAATATTAAAGAAAAATTCATAGATGGGTTAATAAATATAAAAAAACAACTGGAAAAAATTAAATTAATTCAGCCTTGATAGTTTATATAAAATATTTCTGTCAGAATTGAAAGTTATATATGACTGTTCAACAAAAAACACTTCTCTTCACTTACTGGATTGCCACTTATGACTTCTTGAAAAATATCTATCAATATAGACTGTTAAGCTACTACAAAGGAATATATATATATAGTTAACAGCATAGACAACAAAGGTATTGAAATTAAAGAATAGGTTAAACAATTGCCAAGTTTCTTTATATTTTTATACTGAGCAGATGATGTTTTGAACTAGTGCTCTTATTAGGTTGTGCTGCTTACAACCTGTAACCATTTGCAAGCTGTAAGATCTGACGAAGAGCACCAGCTCGAAACATCATCCTCTCTAAAGAGAATATAAAAACTTGGCAACTGTTCAATCTATTAATTCTTTTACTTCGATATTGAGCTACTACAGTCCACTGAAGAGGAAATTTAGAAATGATCATATGACTAGAAGTGGAACTAAAATCCTTGTCCACATGTATAAATAAAAAAAATGCACTACTCAATGAGATTGTTCTGGTTCAGAGATGAGGAAATTAAATACAAGAATTGAATATAGATCTTAAAAATAATAAACTTAGCCATGAACAGGAAAGGCTTGAAAACAATTATTGTTCAGCCAAAATCAGTGTGTTGTTCAGATATACTGGTATATAATGATGGAAATAAGCAATTGAAATGGTAATTATAAATTTTTATCCTTATCTGCTGGAGAAAGCTGACCCTGGTTTATATTACCTGGTGAATATGGAAGAAAACAAAAAAATAAGCAAAAAGGTATAGAGTTTAGAACTGGTAAAAAAGTGAGTATTAAAAAAAAAGCAACTAATCAACCATTTATTGACTCAGATAGGCTCTAAGTATATTCTGTGAATTATTTGAAATACATTTTCGTTATTTCCTTTTTTGTCCCTACTGTTCTATCTTCAATTATGGAATGGGCATTGATGCTATCACGAATAAAAGAAAGCTAACAGAACTTCAGAATCTTGTTCATTATTGAAAATTAATTAACTTTACACTTTCTTTTAAAGAAAATAATTCATAACAGAAACAGAATAAACTTTTGTAAATGACAATTTACAGTTTCAAAAGTGAAAATAGTAAACAATAATGGGTAAGTTCATAAAAAAAGAGTAAACAGAGGAAAAAGAAAAGTGTGTGTTTTTCTTATAGCAAAGCCACATCAGGGTATCTGCTGTGTCCACAGAGGGTAATCAAACCCTTGATTTTAGTGTTGTAAGTCAGTAGACTTACTGCTGTCCCAGTGGGGGACTAGAGAAAAGTAAAAACATAATTTCATTATGTAAAATTATAGGCCTTCCAATGAAGTTAATTCCTAGCCATGTTTCTAAAGTAATATATACATTTTCAAACATTTCTTACAACCACAGATGTTCTGTGAAAAACAAAAATCTAGAGATACAAAAAAATGGTTAAAATTACCGTAAGAGATACATTATTTGATTAATGTTACAGTGAACTGTGAACCACAGACCACATAATTATTTTCCCCTACAGACATTTCATCTATTTATTTGTATTTACACAATAATAACACAACTTTTAAATATTTACTATTATCTGATATCTTACCAGACTGTTATATCCATGTACAGTCACAAGATAATGGCAATCTTTTGAAAAATTTGTCTCATATACAAAACTGTACGGCAAAGTTATATTTAAAATGCTTTCTGCTGTCTGATTAAACTGAAAGATCATTACTCCTGTATCTTGACAGAAAAATGTCCATACAAAACTTGGACTACAGCCAACAAATGAAATATTTAGTGATAATTTCACATTATCTTCAGTTAAAACATTTGGCTCGGCATAAAGATGTAACCGTTTCATTGGCTCTGTGAGACAAAAACATGATATGAAAATTAATATAGACATGTACATATAGAAAATCAGAAAAAAGTCCTGATGTTTCAAAACAAGTAGCTAAAAAGTTGCTAGTTATAGTAGTTACAAAAGCAAAAGTTACACTGAACTCCAAAAGAAATTATACAAAATAATTAATACAGGGTTAAATTCTAATTTCAAAACATATTCAACTGCTAATGTTCCAAAACAATAAGCTTTCCAAATTTTTCTTCAATTGTAGATTTAACTAAAATATCTTAGTTCAAAGTATTTCTACTCACCTATCACATGCAAATTCACTGAAGCTCTCTTGGAGGAAAGCTAAAAAAATTATAACTCTAATCAATAAACCTTTACATTTACTTACTGGGCAATCTAAAAATAACCCTGATGGACTGTAAGAAGTTTTAATATTTATCATTTATTAAACATGTATTGAAATGGAAAAGAAAAACCAAATAGGAAACAATGAATTACTTCAAGATATTATTGAAGATATCATGATGATAAACTCTCTTCAATTAAATCTATAATTCTTTTCTTAAACAACATAAACTATTATTAATAGTCCTTGGCATTTTAAGCAAACATTAACACTATTACAAAATGAAGAACACAACGTACCTTTGGAACTCTATACTTAAATCATAGTTTTTAGATTTATGTTTTAATATTTTCACTTGAACAAGCTAGATGTTAAAGTGAAATTTCTAAACGTAAGCTTTAAGTTTATTTCTTTAACCTACATATAAAAGATAATAAACATTTTGAAAGAAGTCCTCAATATACTCAGGTAACAGACTGAATCAAAACATATATACCAAGTTAGTTAAATCAATTTTAAAAGCTTCATTTTATGTATGTTGATCATTCCAATCATCCTGTGTTCTCTGTAACCAAGAATAGTAACTCTATATAAATTTAGAAGACAGAAGACTCTACGTATACTATAATGAAGACAAAAAAAGATAGAAACTGTTCCAATATAAGTTAATGAAATAAAAGTAACTTCTGTAAAACATTATTCCACGTACTCTTCCGCACCTTTTCACACTAGTTCTGTTTCCATTTACACATAATAATAATTGTTTTCAATATCAAAGTGATTGTATTATAATGTTATCAATGTAGAAACGATTTGACGTACAATGTAGAATTCTTATAACTTACCAAACTATCATATCCTTGCACTGTTACAGTGTAATTACAGTCTTTAGAAAAGCCTCTCTTATAGTTAAAATAGTAAGGCAAAGAAATGTTGAAAAGATTTTCCATTGTTATATTGAACTGAAGGATGCTTTCACCAGTATCTTCACATACAAAATCCCAAACAAAGTATGGACTATATCCTTGGAGTGAAGTATTTAAAGAAAGAGTAACATTTTCTTCAATAAAAACTAACTTTGGTTCTACAGAAAGATACAGCTCTTCCATTGGTACTGTAAACAAAAGATAGATAAAACACTTTATTTAATCAAAATATCACAAAACTTCTTTTTTTATGCTTAAATTATTA